AGCAGTCACATCCTCAACCTCCACTGCTCTGGCACCCAGAGCATCTGTCACACAGCAGGCAGGACGGGGGTTAGTCCAGTCTGACGCTCCGTCTTACAGGGACCACTGACCCTGCCACTGTCCTCTCCAGCTCACTCTCAACCCCGGGGGCAGCCCTAAAACGTCCCCATCTCCATTACTTAAGCTGGACCAGGAGGGCAGAGGTGGCGGTGACAGTGGCGTCAGACTCAAGGGGCAACCCAGTCACAGATCCCTGACCACTCACTGCCAGACGACCACAGAGCAGCCACCACCCTCAGTAGTCTCGTCTTCATGTAAATAAACCCAAGTTCCCCGAGGTGAGACCAACTGGAAATCCCACTGTTCCTTTTTGAATATTAACTGTAACGGTTTCTGAACCATTTCTGTGTCTGTCACTCTTCTAAGTGCTTTTCGTGTATCAGCTCACTGACGCCCTCTGCCCTTCGTCACACAGGTGCTATGACTTTCATACCCCATTTTCAGATTCAGAAACTAACCCAAATCAGAGAGCTGATGAGTGGCAGAGCCTCACTCAAACCCAGCTCGGGCTTCAGAGGCCACTTGGTACCATGATCCCACGCTGTCCTTGAGTTGTCCCCTAACTGGAACCAAACTGTCCTACCTGTCCTCAAAGTGTATCTTATTTTAAAATATCCTTTCTTTTAGAATTCTTCAACTAAATTAATCAAACTTTTTCCCTCACAAACTTTTAAACGAGATAGGTTTCACTGCCAAAAACGCAAATATTTTATGACTTGGCCTCACCTATGTAAGGGGCCACGTCAAGGTCGTAGATGAGGTGAATCAAATGATTTACATGGTTGCCAACAAGAATCTTTTTCAGTTCGACCCAGATCCTCTCTCCTGATATTCCAGCCAAGCCTTTTGCGTTTTCTGCAATTGCTGCCAAAGTCTCAGGATCATGGTCACCAGGCTTATCTACAATTCTCCCATAAAACCTGCAAAACAAAATTCTCTCAGTGGATTACCTGTGTTGGCGTACCAACCAGAAAAATCTGTCATTCCTCAGGCACTGTCCCCCCTACACAGCTCTCTGATCAGAAGCAACACAGAATTAGTCAGGGTAGGAGTGACCATTGGTCACTTCTCCACCTTCTGTTTCCCTGCTGAGAAAACCTGAGATCCAATAAAATGTAAGTCACCTTCTTAAAGCTGGTGAGAACTGGAACCCCACCTCACTGTCACTCCCAAACCACTGACAGACGCCCAGAATGGCCATCAGACGCAGTTCCTGAACTGGTACAGTGGGTGAATAAGACATTCTGGTAAAGCACCTAAGCGAGGCGGGAATGCCAACCCGCAGCACATCGGTGCTTTTAAAACAAACAGGTTCAAATATGACAAATCAGCTCTGCTGGTACTGGAGCGCGTTTCATGGACTCTCAGAGCTGAAAGCCGTAAAGCAGCCATCAGTGTCTAAAGTAAATGACTAAATAACGATGGCTAAGTCTCAGGTTGTGTTCTATGTAAAAAGAGACTGTCTGCAGAGTCAAGTTTAAAGGAGCAGCATTTGTTGACAAAACAACATAGGATGTTACAGGATATTCTGAGTAATCCTAACCTGTGAAAAATATATATTACTGGACATAAACTAAGCAGTTAGCAAGTTTATAAAAAGGCTAGAGTTCAGAGTTTAAGTCATTACTACCCACAAAACCATCCAGATGCATTTCACACTTCCAAGTTCATCTGGATTTCCCGTGACCACCTAAGAGTGAGCTGTATGAGGCAAGAGCTTTCCTCCTCTCTGCATTCAGAGCACCTAGCGTAGTGGTGGCCTGTGGCAGGCACTCAGATATCTGTGTAATGAATGATCTGCACGAAATACTCAACTGAAAAGAAAAATGGACATTTAAACTGACTTAAGGCTGAATTACATAAAAGATAACAGAATGGAGTAAATGTGTGTATGTTTTGGGAATGAAAATATGAAGTATCTAAATAATATCTCATACTCATAAGTCATACAGCAGTCCCCCCTTTTCTGCGGGAGACACATTCCAAGACCCTAGTGGATGCCTGAAACCACAGATAGTCCCAAACCCTATATATATATATATACATATATGCATATGCTGTTTTTTTCCTGTACATATATACCTTTGATAAAGTTTACTTTATAAATTAGACGCAATAAGAGATTAACAGTGATTAATAATAAACTAGAACAGTCATACAGTGTAAAATAAAAGTCATGTGACTGTGGTCTCGCTCTCTGATAGCCGATCTGATAACGGAGCCGGCTACTGAGTGACTAACGGGCAGGGAACATATACAGGGTGGACACGCAGGACAAAGGGACGTGTCACGTCCTGAATGGGACGGAGCAGGACGGTGCGAGATTTCATCCTGCTACTCAGAACAGCATGCAATTTATCAGCTCTGAATTATTTATTTCTGGAATTTTCTATTTAATATTTTCAGGTGGTAGGTGGCTGATCGTGGGTAACTGAAACCCCAGAAAGTAAAACTGGGGGGGGCTGTAGTTTGCTAAGTCTCTATTGGGGACAGATACTGGGGATGTGGCCACTTTGTACACTCACCTGTTCATGTCACATGGTCAGAGCTGTACCCACATACTAACAACAAAAATTATCATTAACTTAAAAAAATTCTTACCTGAAATATCTTAAAATTCGAAGATAATCTTCTTGTATCCTCTGTTTAGCATGTCCAACAAATCTCACTTTCTTATTTTTTAAATCTTCATAACCATTAAAGTAGTCAAATAAAGTACCATCGAAACCTATTCATTAGAAGAGGGGAGAAAATGACTACTAGCAAATAAGAATTGGAAAATAACGTGCCTATCTACAGTGGACTATTAGCCATAAAACAGAATGAAGTCTTGCCATCTGCGGCAGCGTGGAGGCACCCTGAAGGCTAAGTGAAGTCAGTCAGAGAAAGACAAACCTCATTTATATGTGGAATTTGAACAAAACCAAAAAACACTAAGCTTATAGACAGAGAACAGACTAGTGGCTGGGTTGCGGGGGATGGGGGATGGGTGGAGTCAAAAGGTACAAATTTCCAGTTAAAAAAATCAGTCCTGGGGGTGGGATGTACAGCATGGTGACTACAATGAATAATATACTGGACTGCACATTTGAAGGTTCCAAGAGAGCAGGCGTTTAAAGTTCTCATCACAAGAAGACAAATTTAGTAACTTTGTGTGGTAAAGGATGTAATTTCACAATATATACAACGTCACAATGTACATCTGAAACGAACATAATGTTGTATATCAGATATACTACAATAAAAAAATAAAAAAGAAACTGGAAAAAAGGAATAAGAAAATATAGGAAAATTTGCTAAAAACTGTCACAAACAGGAAAAATTAAGCAAAGTTAAGAGTTATAAAGTTAAATAGCATTCATCTGTACCCATTGTCCAGTGGAGGCTGTGACGGGACAAAAGGCTGTATTTACAATAGCATCTAAAAACATCACACACTAGACGGGCCGGCAAACTGCGGCTCGCAAGCCACGTGCGGCTCTTTGGGGACGTATGTACATGTGGCTCTGAAGTAAAATTGAAAATGAAAATAAAACTATCATAGTTTTATTTATAAAATTTTTAAAGGATATTATTCACATAATGGTGATTTTGTTTTATGGCTCTCNACCATAAAATTATTTTTGTTGCTACACTATAACTGTAATTTTGCTACTGTTATGAATCGTAATGTAAATATTTTTTTGTTTTCCGATGGTCTTAGGCGACCCCGGTGAAAGGGTCGTTCGACCCCCAAAGGGGTCGCGACTCACAGGTTGAGAAATGCTGCTTTAGTGCCATTGATGTCACCCGTAAGTGTACCATATTCCTAGTAAGTGACCAGTAACCGCGTGCTGGCTGTTCCTTGTGGAAACGGAAATTCTGAGCATACTGTCTTAGCAGTTATCATTTCGGCATGGCTCTCGTAAGAATTTTTTCTTAACACATTGAGGACGGGGCATTTAAATATATAGACGCAAATCTGCGTCACCAATCTACAATGTGTTACATTCAAGGAACACTAAATTCACTTTTAAAAATCCAGTTCACCTAACTTTATCCTCTTAACAAAAAATTAAACAAAAAAAGCGAAGCGCCTGTCCCGATAGTGCCTGCTCCCTTACAGACAGGTCCTCGGCGCTGGCACGTAAGGCTTGCTGTGAGGTCGTCAGAAGGGGCAGACTCCTGGGTCTGTCCGGTCCTCATGTATGGGTCTCTTACCTGTAGCCAGAGCTGAATATCCCACCTGACCTCTGAACACCTGGAGATTCAGGTTTTTTATGATTTAAAGAGAATGTGAGCCACAGTAAGACAGGCTTTTTGTATGTTTGGTTCACAATGTGGGTATTCACAAACATAACGGAAGTATGAAAATGCAGGTGGGCGGGGCCCCGGGGGCTGGAGGGCGCCTGGAAGACGGAGGGTGGGGCGAAAAGGTATCCTCCTGACTGCTGTCTTGTCACTGTGGATTTGTCAGCAGGTCCGTGTTTAAAGTACTTCCTACCCCCACGCTTATGAAACATTTATTATTTGTGAATACTATGTTCCAGAAACCATAATGAAACAAGTGTATTTCCAAGACTGGCTTGGTACCGGTGACTTTTGATTGTGGAAAAACTATTTTGAACACAAGATGGGAGTAGACCATTAACTCTGAAAACAGGTCAAGGAATGTCCATTTGACTCTAGTCAAATGGGCACAAACTCATAGGCGGGACGGACTTGGCCAGGGCGCATTCTCTAGTG